ATAGCAAATCCTGCAAACTACTTAAATGATCAGAAGATCCAGGCTTCCATCCGAAAAAAGCACTTCAAAAGAACCTCTTGGCATGTTTGTCGTAATAAAGGACTGTGAAATGAGATCTCTGTGTAATGAAACACAGGTATGGACACCTGGCTTTTCGAAAAGTTCCAGCTTCAGAAAGGTTCGACACGCAGTGGCTTCCAACGCAGCGGTGGAACTAGAGGTGGGACGCCCTGCGGAAACGAGGATCTCAAGGAAAGTCTAATCACACGCTCCCACAGGGCAAGGGCTACGTACCAGAGATGCCACAACAGGCCCAGGGGAACGCCAGGAAAGGCCTTAACACTACGAGAGCTTACTGCATGCACTTGGATTTTAGGAGATGGCCTGTTTTCAATCCCCCTGATTACCTGGACTGCCAGAGAGCAGGTGTTTCCGAGTCACAACCATGTTCAAAGGCAGTCAGCTCTAAGAAGAGAATTCCCTCTTTTCCCCTGGAGTTTAACTGCAAGGTCTGGGTGCCAGTAACACTGCACCTTTCCACTTTATACTGCAATGTTTCATGAACTATTTAAGCGTGGTTTAGCTCTTCCCTGTGTGAGCTGAAGGCTACGGAGCATGGACTGGCAATCAAAAGAGCCTGTTAATTTGTGAAGCCAGCTACCAACATCCCCTCTCTACTTTCTTTGACGGAAGCGGGTGTGTGTGAAAGCCAACCCCCAAAAAAACCCTACACGTTTTTCTGACAGCATGATGCGAAAAGAGCATCAGGAACAAGACTGGGAGTGGTGTTTCTCAGATGTTCCAGGCTAGGGATCCCCGTTTAGGGTACTCACTATGGCCAGGTTCACCCAGGCAGTCGCCAGCTGAGTAAGAGTCGCATCCTCATCTTGCTCCTGCATTTTCTTAAGTTCCTTGCTGCAGAAGCAAAAGTGGGAGTCACACAACAGAAAGACAAGGCAACCTCTAGGTAGAAACACAAGGTTGCAGTTTCTTCTCTCAGCTCTTCCATGGCTATAGCACAACAGCCACAGGGAGCTGGTGACATGGCACAGGCACCGTTACAGATTTCACTGAAATAAAACAGCGAGGGCTTTCAGAGGTTATTACCCTGTGGGAAGTCAGAAACCCAGCACTAGAGATTCAAACCACATTCTGCTGAAGGTAAGATTAAACCATCCATCTCTTCCTTTAGCTGTACCCAGCTCTATTACCTCCACAGCTTTTCACAGAAGGGTTTGGGCTGAAGGGACCTTAAAGCCATCCCAGTCCCACCCCCTGCCATGGGCAGGGACCCCTTCCACCAGACCAGGTTGCTCCAAGCCTCATCCAGCCTGGCCTTGGACACTCCCAGGGATGGGGCATCTACAGCTTCTCTGGGCAACCTGTCCCAGTGCCTCCCCACCCTCTGCGGGAAGAATTCCTTCCTGATGTCCCATCTCCATCTCCCTCCTTCCATTTAAACCCATTACCCCTTGGCCTGTCACTCCCTGACATGTAACAAGCACACACACACACACACACAGAGCTTTCTTGTCCCCCCCCCAGGCACCAGAAGGGGCTCTAAGGTCTCCCCGGAGCTTCCCTTCTCCAGCCTGAACCCCCCAACTCTCCCAGCCTGTCCCCATGGGAAACGGGCTCCAGCCCTTGGAGCATCTCCATGGCCTCCTCTGGATTTGATTCCACAGCTCCATGTCTTTCTGCTATTGGGGGACCCAGAGCTGGAAGCAGAACTACAGGAGGGGGGTGTCTCACAACAGCAGAACAGAGGGGGAGAATCCCCTCCCTCGACCTGCTGGCCATGTTGCTCTGGACACAGCCCAGGACATGTAACTTGAAGAATAAAAACGTTTTGCAGCCCATCCATGCCTACACCCAAGTTGTTCTGTCTGCTGCAGGAGTTAAAATGCTGCACCCTGGGGGTGGCTGGGTGACAGACATTCTCATACCAAGGCCCTCCCCACAAGAGCACCATTAAGAAGGAAAGGGACCCAAACCTACCGAGCCAGATCGAGCCTGTCAAGCTTCAGAAGAATCAGTATCATCATGGCCATGCTGCAACGAAGAAGAGCAAAGTGTTTTTCACAACTGCGCGCTCTACCCGGGAGCCGGCTGCTGAGCAGAGAGCTGTACCGCCAGCGCCAGGCCTCCCTGCTGTGGGGAACCAAGAGAGCGGGACCCGGAGCAGGGAAGCTTGCTCCCAGCTCCCAAGTGCTCCCTCGCTGTATCGACCAAACGCTCGTGTCAGCAACTCTGAACGCACACGAATCGATACATCAGGTTGTTACGTTACACAAGGGAGTAATAGAGTTGGTATCGTAGGACGAGCACCACACCACTTACTACTTCGAAAGCAAACCTCAGAGCAGCTTCTCAACGCCTTCAAGGCTTTTCAGAGACAAGCCAGACCTCAGCCACTTCCACGGCGTCTCTCCCCAGACGAGGGGCTTTGCCAGCGCGAGCCACACTCACCACTCCAAGCTCTCCCCTTGATGCAGAGCACGCAGAGCCGCATCGGGATTTTTGTCGTGGAAATAGATGGAAGCAGCCATCAGCAAGAAAGTTGTGTTGGCTATATCAACACTTTTTGCCATTTTCTTGTCCAAATCAGCAACAATTGCATCCCTACAAAGAGCAAGGGTGGAAATTTAGGACGGTTGCGCTACTAAGCGAGACAAAAACATCCTGCCCCCCCCTAATTTCTGCCTTTTTGAGATTCACTGAAAAAGTACAGAAAATCGCAATAAAGACCACAATTCTACAGGAAACATTCCACATGGAAATATATTCCCTGTTAGATAGGGCTTGAGTTCCAACTCACAGATTCAGAGTGTGGTAGGGATTGGAAGGGACCTCT